CTGTTTATTTGGGAAATCAGGACCAGGCAAGAGTAGTGTACACATGAGAGCTGGAGGATTCATTCGTTTAAACTAAAAACCAGATTGATTGATGGGATCGTCCTAGGTTTAAGCCACAGTGTCTATGAGATATTTCACATTAYAGGGTGTTCGTTATAATGGAGACACCGTCATAAGCTTCAAGTCCTATAGTGCCTGCTTTCATTCCCAGCTGGCCCCAAACTGTACCCTGTCCTTCATGATGAAGACCTCATCTTTCTGATTCACCCTGGTCATCCCTCTGGCCTGGGAAGTGTCAGTTCTAATGAGCAGGAGGAGAAGGACTGAGATTCTTCAATGAGCATGGAAGAATGGAGGGACGCCAGTTAAATGCCATTCACACTCTAAATAGCCATTCAGATTAGTGGCCATGGTTCCTAAAGGACAGATCCCACACTGATGTGTGTGCAATCCCCTTTCGAGGTCAGTGATCCATGCAACTCAAGTGGTGATGGGATCCGACCCTTAGTGTCAAAACCTGCACCTGTTAGGCTTGGAACAATGGGTCATTCTGAAGTCAGCCACTGCAACTTGCTCTTTTCCAGACCAGTGAAAAGAGTATCTTGTTTCTCTTGGAACTTGAAAATGATGCTATTATAATGTATAATACAGACCAGCTAGCACCCTCACATTTTGAAAATAACGCATATCTGTCRTATCTTCCCTCCATTCCAGTGGACTGTAAATAAGGCTCACATGAATGGCTGGGTAGAGAAGCATGAATGCATACACAGATACCCCAGGGGTACTCATTAAGTATATGTGAAGAGCACACTGGCTTATAATCTGAAGTGCTCCATCCCAGGCTCACTTCTCACACCACCAGCCTGACTTTGGGTAAGTCCAGTCATTATGTTTCTCTGTGCAATGGAGAGAGTATCAACCTCAGAACATCACCGGGGCTCAGCAAATGTAGCTTCCCTCTGCTTTGCTTTCAGTCTCAACCTCCTTGAAAACTTTGGATTAAAGAATTTCTGAAGTTTATTTTTAATCCTAAAGTTCTATTATTCTACTTAGTTCTTGGCTTAAAAGTGTTTTATGATTTAGTGTAATCATAAGACATTGCTCCTTACATTCCAGCAGAAATGTATCACTAGATTACACCATGAACTAAAATGTGTATTATGTAGTTGCCTGAATCTGTATTTACTTTCTTATTCTCCCCAAAATAAGCACTGTGTCATTTTTAATGAGTTTAAGAAGGCACCATTTTCAACTACATTGCCTTCAGTAAAATAATCAAAATACTCTTGGAATTTTGAAAAAAGAAGACTCCATATCCTCCTTTCACAGTAGCTGTTAGTTTGTAGTCACACTCCACCAGAAACTGGCTGGTGGCTGACAGTCCAGTTTCCTGTTTCCTCATGATCACGCAGCTAGACTAAATTTCCAGGGTCCCTTGCATCTGAGAAGTTAGGTGACTTAGTTTTTCCCAATAGAATGTGGACAGGAGTGACAGGCCACTTATAGTTCTGGCCCATAAAATCCTTCCACGTATAAACTTCCCTATCTGCCCACTTAATGGAGAGAACTTCAAGGATTAAAGGATGTGTGGCCGTAAGATGGCTGGTTTCCCTATCCCTAGGATAGGGATTGGTGTTGAACCAAAAACCAGTTTGTTAAATGAGTTTGATGGGGGATTTGTTATTACCAGAATGAAACAGCTCTGATGAATATTATGTGGAAATCACCTGGCAGCCTTCAAGTACATCACCAGGCACACTGCCTCAGTGGTCACAGAACAGAAGAGCTCAGTGAGCATGGGAAAGTGTTCCAATAACACGGGTTACTGAATTAACTTTAACACATAGTGAGAGCAAGAAGAAAAGAGAGGGGTAAGCTAACACACAGAGACACCTTGCTAACTAAATCCTGGAGTACATCAAGTTCACATGTCCTGACTCTGATTCACCAATCTTCCCTCGTGATGGTGTAGTTAGAAGGAACAGAGATGGGGTTCATGCAACYCAGAGCCCCAGAGAGCTTTATAAGTCCTCTCCTGAGCCTGCAGGCTGCTGGAAGGATCTTGTCTTCTCCCTGCCTGTCTGGAACTGCTCAATTCATCACAACCAATCACAGGAAATGTCTAGGTCCAAACCTTGTCACCCCCCAAAAGTGGTAGATGAAAGTGTGCCTTGCAGTTCTTTTGTCAAGAGCTCATGTTCTGCCAAATAACAGGGAGGCAGCTCTTTTCCATCATGAAACATGAGTTGTTATTTTCTTCCTTGTTATTTAGCGCTGTGAAATCCTCCAGAAACTCTTCAATCATYAGCAGCTATTTTCCTCAAGACAAATCAAAGTATAATAAATGGTGTTTTGCATATTGAGAGGATAATGGAAATTGCAAAAAAGAAAAAAAAATCCTCTGCTCAATTATTCTAAGTTAGCCTAATTTGGGCTCCCTTACTAAGATGAAGACTGGCAGCTGATAAGAAATTAATCACCAATGACATAAGATTGTGCTCAGGGGCCTAAAGCTTATGACATTTAGTTTTTTAAAAAACTAAAGTATCTTATTTTTGAACATTAACAAAAATATGGATCCATGGGGGCTAGAGTTGTTAGAGTGCCTGCCTCGCATGCCCAAGGCCCTGGATTCAATTCCCAGTACCACACAAAAAGAAGAAAAAAAGCGTGTGTGTGTGTGTGTGTGTGTGTGTGTGTGTGTGGCGTGTGTGTGTGTGTGTGTGTGTGTGTGTGTGTGTGT